CAAACAAATACTTTAGAATATTAGTGCTAAAAGTTGTAGCCATCACAGAGGGAAAGATTGACCATTGTTGAACCCAACAAGCAGGTTGTTATTTTTTTATAGCTGGGAAACTAACCCCACAGCATAACTCAAATAAACAAGCACATAATTATTTCTTCATACAGCTTCTTTCTTCATATCAAATTTAGCATTTTGAAGCAAATTAACCAGTGGAACCATAATGTTAGCTTCAATCTCAGCCTGTAAAAACATATCATTAAACATCGGATTCGATTATAATATTATTAATAATAAAAAAAAAGAAAAAACATTTAAATTAGAATTTGAACCTATAAAATAAAAAAAACTCTTAAACTAATTAAATAAATATAATATTTTTATAATTAAATATATTATATATACACTAAACAATATTTAAACAAAAATAAATGTAATGATTCTATCAGGACTTTAAATATTCCAAAAATTGGCTTTTTGGTGGCTGCACATTTTCATATTTATCCAACAAAATTCCAATTTTTGGAATATTTAGAGTCCAAGAAACACTAAAGAATTTAAAGAGACTATGAAATTCAAGTACCCTCCTTTCATACTTATAGTTTCTTTTCATGTTAATAGTGTGTATATGCTTTCATGTTAATTGTGTTTTCCAACTGTTTTCTGGAAAAAAAATAAATATCTCAGCTACATTTAATTCATGCTAATACTTCTTATGGTGATTTGGCTCCATAAAATAATTTACTAACAAATTTGAAAATTACTCAATTTCATAAATTTGATTCAATTTAAAAAATTAAAATTTAATTCAAGTTATAAAATAGAACTTAAATAACTCAAAGTTCTTCATAATTAGTATATTAATTTTCAAGTTTGAGCTAAGTCTCTCAACTTTGTATGGTGTGTATCATATATAAAAAAATAAGAAGAAACATAAATATAATGTATATTATAAAAAAACAGTTTAAATCACAATCAAATAATACCATAATATTATAAATATTTACAATTAAAGTTAGGTATAAACTCGAACAACTCGACTCGACATAAATTTTGTAAATTTTCGACACAAAAATATTTCAAATAAAATTTAAATTATAAAATAAAATTTATCTATTCAAATAGCTTATCATTTGTAACTCAATTCGATTCGACTCAATTAAGATACCCTATTCACACGAATCAGCGAAATATGCAATGAACTTAACACGAGTCATCGTCACCCACCGGAAAAAGTGTAATTGATTTTTTTTTTGAAATATATGGACTATTGTTCTAAATCTTTATATATTTTCAGTTAAAGTCCAAGATGATGAACTGAATCGTCGGCCCAAATTGGCTTCCCTGAGGAACAAAAAGTGGGTTTGTTCCCACATAAACCTTGGACCTTGGACAAAGTTATCCTCATTTGGGTTTTTTGGCCCAATACCCCAGGCGAAAAAATTATGTGGGTCCACATAAAATTTTAAATTTCGTCACCTCGAGGTGATGAGTTTGCTTTGAATTGTTTTAAAAAAAGTAGTTGTTGCACAACGAGCAGTTGCAACGGACATATTACAACGATCATCATGAAACTCGTCACTTCGACGTGACGAATTCGATGGGATTTTTGAAAAAATTAGACGTTTATAGCTGTTAGATTTGAGATTATAAATAAGGTTTTTGGGTTTATGTTTTTTATTGTGTTTTGTTAAGAATTTTTTTTTGAAAAATATTCAAAATTTCCAAAATATGTCTACATGCGATGAAATGTTACGCCTCGATGATATCCATATTTCTTCGCTCGAGCTCGGTCCGGAAGAAGAACAGAACGTTCGTCAAAGAGGAATGAATCTTAAAGATCCACCTCAGTGGATTATTATATATTTACAACAATCCAGGCTGCTTCCAGCGATGTTTTTACGTGGTTTTAAGGTGAACCCGACATCGATTATGGCTCTCAATGAACGTTGGAGGTCGGAGATGCATACTTTACGTTAGAAGATTAGACGATGATACCACTTGTTAGATCTAAATCATAATAAATATGATAATAAATTAGGATCAAATCATGTCAAATTATCAAGAATAAAAATACTAGATACGAAAGCGTATCTGAATTAATTGATGACTTGAAATCCTGGAAACTTTTTTTGGTTGTGATCTTCCAAGAAGTTAGAGTTCCCTTAAATATAAACTCTCTTACAGGGATAAGAGTAAATACGATATTGTCTATTTCTTGGGGACCATAACCCCTTTATATAGTTGATTTAAGAATCAATTATTGTCTGTACTTATAACTCTGCCCCTCATCAAGTTATAAATACAACTTTAATAGTATCTACACTTTTATTTCCATGACACTTCTAATACCTTATGATTTTATAACATAATTGATTACTTAATTTATTTCATATTTTATAATAATAATAATATACATTATAAATATGTGCCCATAATTATGAATTTTAATTCAACAAGCTTCACCTGCATATTCGGTCGAAGATGCTTGAGTGCTTTGTATTGCATCTCATGAACCTCCAACTCAATTCGACTGAGTCTCCGTTGAAGCATGATATAGAGGATAGAAACCAAAATTAGTCTAAGATGCAAAATAATCGGTAGAAGTAGAAGCAAGAGACGAAGATGATGATGATTTCTTCTTGGCCTTTGTGAATTTGGCCTTTCCTCGTTCCCACTCAACCCTCTCTTACGATGTCGTTGAATATGGTTTTTCATTAACTTTATAATTTTAGAGGTATAAACTCTTCCCTCTCTTACGATGTCGTTGATATCCTTGAATCTTTCTTTGATTGTGATCTTCCAAGAAGATAAAGTTAACTTAAGTATAAACTATCTTACGAGGATAAGAGTAAATACGATATTGTTTATTTCTTGGGGACCATAACCCCTTTATATAACTGATTTAAGAATCAATTATTGTATGTACTTATAACTCTTCCCTTTATCAAGTTATAAATCAACTTTAATTGTAACGTCAGAGATGTCACATTAACCTGTCAAATCATATGCTTGTACAAAATAGCTAAAAACTCAAATTTTCATTAAAATCACTAAATATTTTACATTAATTAAAATACAATCGGTTTTACAAACATATAAGAGCATATTCAATTTAAACCTTTTAGTACATGCCAACTACATTTAATATAACAAAATACATAGGATTCAAATCTCTTTTCTGATCTGATCTTCAGGAAGGAGAGGCTAACATGCCTTGCTCCTCTTTGCTTCTTAATCTTCTTGAAACCTATGTGTGAAACATTCACACGCTAAGTCCATGACTTATTGAGGCATATACAATTTATAATGTAACTCTAACTCTTAACAATGCATGAATAATTAATATTATCATATCATTCACAAGCATATATCCTTTCAAATACACATATGTATATGTATATATCCTCATCTTCATTATTAGCATTATCATAATATTATCATTAAGTCATGTTAGTCCTATAATCTTATACCTAACATTCTTAGCCAAACAATACACATAACATCATATAATTATGGTAACACAATTCATAGCAAAAAACATATAAATCATATAAAATGTATTTGTTGTTATCTCTTTATTAGCCCATGTACACATGTGAGAACTAAAGATATGTGAGTACATAGAGGTTGTGCACATATGCTTTCATTACAAGTTTAAGTTCAGTGAAGATGCTCCCATATGCGTCGATGGGTCCTAGTGAAATTTTGACTCAGCGATAATTCTGAGTTTGGCCTTCTTCTGTCGCCTGCACATGTTGTGGTCTTGAGTCTAGTATTTTGTTGATCGGTATGGCCGATTCTTGTATCAGATTTTGGATATTATTGTTGTGTTTTAGTTATTAATATAGTTTTGAGTAATTTTTATCCCTTCTCGTTGTCTTAATTTATCGAGTTATAAGAGAAATACTTATAAGAATTCTCTCTTTCAAAAAAAAATCTAATTATATTTCACCTTTAATTTTTGTTAATGCATTCAAAAACTTTGATGTTGCATTTTCATACTGTAACAAAAATTTGTGAAGAGTTGTTATAAAAGTTATTCATTTTTTAAGTTAATCGGAATGTGTACTTGAATGATTACTTGAGTGTATTTGATTTTGTGCATTAACTAACTTTCAAATGAAAATTTTTATCAATTCACTATTGTAAATCTTTTTGAGTATATGTGAGATGATTTTTTATACTCACATAGTATTATATGTATTTAATCGCTTGAGAATATTTGATCTATCATGATTAATTTTAGACATTTTTTAGGTGTGAAGTCATGGTTGATTGATTTTTATTTAGATTGACTAATTAGAAATGATGTTATTTATATAGCGAGTGATTTTTTTATCATACATAAATTTGTATTAAATTTTAACTGATACCATGTACTAGAGAGGGTATATATTTTAATTATCATATTTTACATGAATATGATTTAATTAATTAATACAATTTATAAAGAATAATGTGAATGTGTTAAATAAAAATTATCTCTAGAAATTAATTAATTAACAAATAAATAATATTTTTTAAATTAATGAAATTAGGTTACCTCAATATTATCGATTTGTAGGGCTTTTATTAAATTTCTTTAATATTCTAACTATATAAATTAACATTTATAAAATTTATTATTAAAAAATTGTGTAAAAACGTGGGGCCTAATACGTAAACATATCAGAATTGGACAGTGATACTAATAAATTTGTTTTGGCAGTACCTGAAATTTCATCTCCCGCCCCGCCCCTTCTGCAAACTGCCACGTGGGTATCTCGAAATTCCATTGAAAGACAGAGGAGCGGCGCTCAGTTGTCACCCATAGGGATATTTCCGTCTTTACATACACATCCCCCACTAGGGTTTATTGCCTCCACCCCTCTGACAACCTCTCACTCACTGTTGGTTTTTTATTTTTTTTCCTGTCCTTCGTTTTTATCAGCAAATTTTAGGTTAGCTTATTCTCTTTCTTCAGGGTTGTTTTCATTTCTGGGTTTTTGTTTCTCGAGAGCAAAAAGTTATCCCCTTTGCTCTGTTTTTCCTCTGTTTTTCTTCTGTTTTTCTTCGTTTAAGTGAATGAGAAAAGTTACTGATTGTGTTACCAAGTTGGTATTGTTTAGCCTGTTCCATTTACCATTATCATTCCGTTTTATCTTTACAGAGTTGCAGCATGGGTATAATGGATCTAAGAGCAAAGGTTGATATAAATGAACCGTCTTCAATGCTTAAAAGCTTTTGTCTTTTCTTTCCATTGCAACGAATTTCTTATATGGAACTAACTTGGTTTCCGTTTATGATTCAGAAATCGTCTTGTGAAGAAACGATGAGTGAGAACAACAAGAAGTTTTGTACTGATTGCAAAACCACAAAGACTCCTCTTTGGAGAGGTGGCCCTGCTGGTCCCAAGGTATTATTTTCTCTTCACTTCCCATTTTCAAAGCAACAAATCTTCTCTTTTTGAAGCTCACGGATTTTTTGGGTTAATTTCAGTCACTTTGCAATGCATGTGGGATCAGACACAGGAAGAGAAGAAGAGCAATGTTGGGTTTGAACAAGGGAGAAGAGAAGAAGAAGAAGAAGAAGAAGAGAGAGATATCAGATTCATCACACAGCAGCTCTATTGCCACTTCAAATGAGGATTGTAATAAGAAGCTTAATGCCAACTTTAATGGACTTAGTGACGAAGTGAAGATGAGATTATATGCTTTGGGAAGTGAAGTTTTGTTGCAAAGTTCATCATCATTATCTGGGGTGGTGAAGAAACAAAGGTGCCAGAGGAGAAGAAAGTTGGGAGAAGAAGAACAAGCTGCTATTTCTTTGATGGCATTGTCTTGTGCCTCAGTTTTTGCTTGAACTATGAAGAGACAGAGAAACCAAAAAAACAAAAACTAACCCATAAAGTTCATTGTTTTTCATCGACTTTTCCTGGGTTTTTCTTTAGCCTTTTCTTGTTAATGAAATGAAAAATATCCATGTTCTTGACATCTGTTCTGTTTTTACCTCTTGGGAAATAGTAATGTTTTTGGGAATAGCTGAAGATGATGATGATTGTAAATAGTACTTTGGAAATGAATGAAGAATGAGAATTTAATGTTTCACGTAGGTTTTGCAGACCCATTTCCATTTATTCGCATCTACTTATGCATTATCCAAAGCACCTCTACTCGTGTTTCGTTATGAATGATGATTCTTTGAGGGGAATTCTGTATTAAAAGATCATAATAATTTCTTTTCTTCACTTTGGAAACGACATAGTTTATGGTTTTGGTTTCTGTTTTCAGTTTTGTTCATCTTTTGGGGTGTTTTGTTGCGAAGGTGATGAGCTTGTATCACCCTCAACATCACCAAACCCAAGGGTTGCTTGATTCTGGCAAGCTAAACAACCATTAAGCCTCATTGAGTTGTATAGTTTACATACTTTCCATCCTCTGTTTAAACTAAAAAGACTTCCCAAATTTTAGTTAGGGTTCATCAATTTCTATTTCTGTTCTCGGAACAGCAAATACTCTACAAAAGATTGATTTGTTTTCTTTTGCTTTTTCAGTAGAGATGGTATCGCATAGGGCTGTAAAAAACCAGAATATGGCGATGGCCTTGCCTCGGCTGTCATAACAAACGAGAGGAAAATTTGTTATAGAAACTGTGCTTTCATTGAGGGCTGAACTCGAGAGCTCCCGCTTACTAAACGGGTGCTCTAACCAAATGAGCTATGAAAGCTGTTATATTTAATAATCAGATATATTATTTCTATATTAACAAAAGCGAAGCTGATATCCAGAGGTCAATAGAACCGAACGGATAGAGATTCCTTGGCTGATGACTGTTACTTTCAGGCTTTGGCACTAGATCCTAATGGCAACTTCTTATATATATATAGTGAGCTTAATTCTTACGAAGTCGATTTCTCCATTTCTTTGAAACCAAAAGAATTGATACATGCACACACCTCGTCTTCTCGTGGGAACCAACTACACCTATAAATTCCCTACCCAACGAGTTTTAAAGAATCAAAATCACTCCTTTCCTTGCTCAAGGAAGAAGAATGCACCATTTAACTTAGAAGCTCTACATAGATCAATCCTCAAAACCCCTCCTTTCCCTCTCTTCCCATTTACTCCAAAGGAAGACGAGAAACGAAAAAAATCAAAGAGAGTAAACACGAGCTTCTAAAGTCGTATGAGTATATGGGGCTATCCAAATTTCCGACATTCTTATGCTGCTGGCCATGGAAATTGTTGCTTCTCGACATGTAAAGTACACGGCAGGTCAAACAGGAAATAGTCGAGAGAAAAAGCCATGGTTGTGGATCAAAAGAGTATCTCCTTGAGGATCAGAAGGACCAACATGACAAAGCACATTATAACAAGCACCGTAGCACACATCACCATGCCTCCTTGTTTCTGTGTTCTCTCTGCCTACAACTCGAATCCATACAAGAATTAGAATGACCCCTTGAAAATATGTAAATGAAGATCCTTCATGGGAAAAGACAAAAGACCTTCTGTAGTTGTTTGAGGCCTTCTTCGACTGTAGTTGCAACATTCTGAATGTTGTAGTCTATCCGATCGACAATGGTACCCTGTTTGCAGACTGCATTTAATAACTCTGAGAAAAGTTTGTAACCTATTATTAATGCTAGATGGATTCCTACCTGATCAATCACAAGAACTGACAGATCCTTCATAATCTGAGCAAGATCATTTACAGACTCCACAACCTACAAAATCCATTTTAACACAAGCATATTAATACATTCCAGATAGATATGAACACAGAATCAGATGACAGAAAGATCAAGAGTAATCCACTTACCTGTTGAATCTCCCTTTCCCTTTCAACTGTTAATGCTTCACTTTGTTTTAACTTTGCCATAGAATGCTCACTAAATACCTACATGTACATAATCGTGCAACATGAGAATTTGACACCAAACTGGAATCAGGTAAAAGACATAAATCCCTCAAAACATGATATTATGATTATACAAGGAAAACATATGGAAGTTGAAGTAGGCACATTTTGGTGCTTGATTGCCACACAAATAGTGTCAAGATCCTAACATTTTATTTGGCAATCATCTAAAACGCATGCTTCCTAAAATGTGTTCAGATAGATTGTATATAATAGAAGGAAGAGGGTTTAAAGAAACCAGTATACCATATCATCCAAGTCATCGTCTTCTGTTTTAGACCTATTTCCATTTATGTTCATCTCTAGATCAACTCCATCCTGGCCCTAAAAAAGAAACAGAATTTTAGTTAGAACATGCACAAAATGCATTATAAGAGTGCAAAAAAAAAAAAAAAAAGATAGAGAGAGAGAGAGAGAGAGAGATACAAATGGAATAAGTCAGAAATCGAAATTGTATGGATTGTTTAGCATGTGAAAGTGCAACCAAATACTATATAATAATGAAATGTCAAGAGAGAAGTTTCTTCTTTATACCTCTTTTTGCTGCCTGAGGCGCTTCAAATAAGTTGATTGCTTCTTCCGAAGCTCCATTGATAGGTTTTGAAGGTCAGTAGCAAGTTGACGCTGCCAAAAAGGAGAGAAACATGTAAAGCATGAAATGTAGAGAAAAAACCAGTTCATAATAGCGCATCTTCTAAGGGAATAAAAGCTTAAAATTATATCAGAGGGTATAAAAGATAAAGCACTACACATCAGGCATTATTATCTTCCCTTCTGCAATGAAACATTTATGGGAGAGAAACATCAAAGATGACCTTTTGTCTCACCATCAATAAGCCTTACCTGGACATTTTTCCTGACATTTGAGTCCTCAGAAGGTCCAGTTGCAGAGAGTTTCTGCAATCTCTTCTCTGATTTCTTCAACAGATTAGTTATCTCATGGGTAAGAGCCTCAATATTCCGTTGGTCTTCTTTACCATCACCAAATGAAGGCATTAAAGCCTTTGCATGAGCCTTTGCTAACTCAGCCATTTTTGCTCGTGCTCGTTGCACATTTGCTGCTATTTCTTCAGACACGTCTACCCAAGCTGGAGGTAGACCTACCGTAACTGCATTGGCACCCTTACTGCAACAGATGGACAACCCCTTATTTTCCTACTACAGAGTTTTATGGCCATTCAAACATATATCTATATATATGTGAACATGAAATTAAAAAGAAAACCCAATTGTACTATATATCTACAATCCCTCATTGCAAAGCCCTGGTCTTTCATTGTACTGTATAAACTTAACCACCTCATAATCTTTGTAGCTCTTCCAAAATCATTCAAAATATCTCAAGTCTCAACTAAACAATTCTAGCATGAGCTGTTTGCAGACATCAAACAGGTTCAACCACATTCATTTGTAAGCATCTCTTAGATGTCATTTCCCCGGAAACCAATTACTTAACATTATAATTTTGCAATTATGCTTAAGCCTAAACTATATCAATTCTACTTCAAATAAAAGGAGACTTATTCAGCTAAATTAAGCTAATTAATTAGGTTGCAATAAATTCACGCATGATAGGAGGAAAAAACAAGTATTAATCTCAATCGTGATTTTTTATTCGAATCTCATATCGACAAATTAGTAGTAATTGCAAAGGTTGAATTACCTTGAATTTCCAGGATCCTCGGTACTTAGAGGAGTATAAGAACGAGTTGGATGGAGTAACGAAGTACTAACCATCTCAATCACCGGTCCTCCGCTCGTGGCAGAAGACGATGCCGACGAAATCGTTGGAATTCTCACACTCTTTAACGCATCCCTATATTTCCTGAATAACAAAGTCCGGTTTCTCGTTGCCATAGCTCTAAAACGAAAAATATTAACTAAAAACCTAAATTAAATCTAAAGCTAGATTCAGATTTAGAATTTAGAGATCTAAAAATTGAGGTTTTCTCATGGCGGAACTAGAAAAAGTAAAAAAAAGGATGGCCACGTGACCGGAGGTTGGCGATCGGCCGTTAAAGGAGCAGCTGACAGAGATGAACGGCCGACTCAAGAGCCGGCGAAGCTGAGGATCGTTCTTAAAAGCAAACCACCAGGAAAGTAAAACTATAAAGAAGAAAAGATGCGGTAGGCGTGGGGGATTATTTTTTTATTTTTATTATGCTGGGGTTTTTCAGATTAGAACTGCGGTTAGTGTTCTTAATCGTATTTTGAATCTTCAATTAGGTCGGGTTAAGTTAGTAGGGTCGGTTCATAAGTCCCTCGGCCCGGTCAAGATCCACGTTATGACTTAAGACATGTCAATTAGTTCTTTCAATTTTGGCAAAACTACACTGTTAGTATCTAAACCTTGTCAGTATTTCTGTTTTGGCCACTGAACTATAATAAAAAGAAGCAATTATATAACAAAACTCGTTTTTAACCATTTGACTGCTAAATTTGAAACAGATGGACGGCATGGCTTTCTTTTTTTTCTCGAGGTTATTGGTTCTTCACTTCTACCCAACAAGGTCTCTAAAATTGTTTTAGATTATTTATTCGAACTGATCGACTCCGTTAAGCGTCATTTTCATATTTTTGAGCACAAATGAGACACATAATCAAACAGTGAAACCAGGGGAAAGAACTTCAGCAATGAGGGTGCGTTTGATTCACGGAATGTAAGATTACCAGTAGGAATGTAAAATTACCAGAGAATAGGATTACTGGGAATGCTGTATTTTGTGTTTGGTTGGCTTAGTAGGAATGTAAGATTAATGTGTTTGGTTAAAGGAATAAAAGATTATTGGAATGTATATTTGACCAAATTGTCCTTATTATATATTTGTTTTTTAACAAGTTGGAAAATATTTATATATTTTCTTTAAAAAATTTAAATTCATAAAATTTATATAAATTTTTTACAAAATTGAAAATATAAAAAGGTTTAATGAAAGGGTAAAAAAAATTTTAACCCCAGAACTTCATATAAAATTTTAATTATAGAATTTTTATTATTCAATGACAGAAGAATGATATTTTTTAAAAAAAATTAAGGACATTTTAGTCCAAAACGCCGGTAATCCAATAATACTTAAGGAAAGGGAGATAATGACATTCCCAATAATATATCCCAAAAAATCCACTATTAGTAATCTTACATCACCGGGAATGAGATTCTCGGGCTAACCAAACGGGGGAATGTGGATTCCATTCCCATGGGAATCCCACATTCCCCTATCCAAACGCCCCTGAATGTAATCAACTTTGAGAATAACAATATATTATGGTGATCAAATGAGAATAGAGCACGTTTTGCATTTGATGTCTGTGAATTATAAGTATAAATCGAATTAAAAATCGGTTAGAAGGCTGACCAGAGAAAAAAAAAGGGTACATTTACTACATCAAAGAACTAAAGACCTAAGCTCAACCACTGCGGGGATCTTGTATCCATTATCCTCTTCACTACATCTTTTACAAAAGAATCAAAACAAGTTAAGCAACAACCTTTTATTGAGCTTTCCTGCTCAGTTGCCTCTCTTTGGAATGTGTGTACAATTTGATAGTGGAGGCACAATGTGAACTTTGCTCATTGAATGCTCAAACCCACAAGCAGCTAATAACGTGTGCATGGCACTTCTTGTTATGTCCTTAAAAGTACCATTGTCTAAACCGTCTCCGTCTTTCACAGTGGGTTAAAATCTATTGTGTAAATTGTTTATTGTTCTTTTATCGAGGAAAGAATCTGGCCTGCAACCATCACATAAAAAATTTTGGGTAACAGAAGAGCGGAAATCAATGGTTGCAAAATATGAGTTAATTAGCCGTGTTTGTATAACAACACCGCTAAATATCATCAATACAGGCGTTTTAAAAAAACGCCACTAAAGTTTTTGATAATTTGAACACTTTAGAATTGTCAATAGCGGCGTTTTTAATAGTAAAACGACGCTATATATCATACATTTACCGGCGTTTTTATACCAAACGCATCTATATGTAACAACATATAGCGGCGGTTTTTTATAACACCACAAAAGGAAAATATATATAGTGGCGTTTTAGACTAAAAAACGTCACTACCTTTTGCGACTTTGGTTTCAGCGCTGCATTTCCTGGCCTTTTTTTCACAGTAATTGTTTTTAGCGGCGCTAAAAAACCTGTTTTGCTGATTGGATGTGTCCAAATCTTAAATACGAATAGAGTAGGTTACATTAAAAGCCTTGTATTGTATCTTATAAAATTATGAGACCTACCAGAAAAATACGAAGCATTCGGTATGCATTTGTGTTGAATGAATATTTCAAGACTTAACCTTTGTTCTGGAGAATTAAACTTGTTAGGAACTATATAATGAGTATTCAATACAGAAACGTCCAGGATTTAACTGATTAAAAATGATAAAGTTTGTGGATTATTATCATAATTGTAGTGTCTGGTATTGACATAGAGTAGATTAAGAGCTAATTAAGAGTTAAAACTCTGGCTCATACTGAATCAACAGTTAGGGGGACAGCATGTCATTCGGCCACGGGACTTCGTTTTGGGATAACCCATCGACTTACCAAGTAAAGAAATGTGATGGAGTGATTGATATCGGATTCTTTCGTATTTATGTTATTTTTATATATTAAAGTAATTATATGAATTTTGCCATGTTATGATATTGTTTTATTATGGCAGAGTATAACATATAATATAACGAATCTCCTAATTTTGTAGCCTTTGAAAATGGACTTACATTGGAATGGAAATGAGAAATAAAACCTAAAATGGAAGTAAAATAAAAAAGGAAAAGATTGATCATTGTAGCTAAAAGATGCTACATATTTTCCCTCCATCGACAAGAATTTGGGAACAAAGCATGTGGAATAAATACGTCTTAATGTTGAGTCATGTGTTGCAATATATGTATACACATAGGCACGTGGATTATTAATTCATGTCTATTTGAATACCGTATGATATATTTAAATGATTCTAAATCTTAATCTTTAACTTATAAATTTTAAACCGTAAACTCTAACATTATAAATAAGACACGTGATGGATCCGTATCTAAAATACTTTCTTGTATATAAAGTTATTAAATTCCCACCTTGATTTACTCATCACACAACACAAACATCCCAACTTTATCAACTGATTCCCGTTGCTTTATTCCTTATACTATGACCTCAGCTTCAATGGCTACCTTGAGCTTCGTCGTTGGTATTATTGGGTAGCCCTATTTTCTCACCCTTTTTTGTATGCACATGTGAACTTCAATCTCTGACCAAAATGCATTTTGCAGGTAATGCAATTTCACTACTGGTTTTTGTTTCTCCCATGTGAATAAAATCATCTAATCAAAGAAGCCTATGAAGTAGCATGAAATTTTTTTTAAATGTTTTTTTTTTGGAAAAACCTTTTGGGGGGTGATAAAGAAGAAATCAACAGAGAATTATAAAGGGGTACCCTACATAACGACCCTTTTGAGCACTAGCTTGTGGACCTTCTATGGAGCCATCAATCCAGATGGATTACTTGTTATGAAAGTGAATGGCGCTGGTGCCATCTTGCAACTCATCTATGTCACCCTCTTCCTCCTATATGCTCCTAAACAAAAGAAGGTGCCGTAATTACATACTTTGTTCAAAGATTATGCATGCAAGGGCCGTGTCGTGTTCATCTTGTGGACGTAATAGATACGATTTCGGATGCCGGTTTTTCAGGTTAAGACGGGGACGTTGGTGGCTGTATTGGATGTCGGTGTCCTTGGAGCGGTGATCGCGGTGACTCTTCTGGCGATTCATGGAACCAAAAGGCTCACTTTGGTAGGAATTTTATGAACCGTCTTAACCATCGGCATGTATGCATCGCCATTGTCAGTCATGGTGAGTTTCTTCACCTGCATTTTATGAAATCTACCAGATAAATGTTTAATCTAAAGAAAAATCAACCTAGAGATGCTAAATTTATGTCATCTGGTGTCTAACAGAGGAGAGTAGTAAAGAGCAAGAGTGTGGAGTATATGCCATTTTTGCTCTCATTTTTCTTGTTCCTCAATGCTGGTGTTTGGTCTGCTTATGCAGTGCTGGTGAAGGATATCTACATTGGAGTAAGTTCACATCTTTTTCCCTTTTCCTTTCTAATCTCGTATTAATAATTTATCGGATATAAGTATGTGTTGGAAATGATTTTATAAAGATTTTCAGGTGGCAAATGCAACTGGTTTTATCCTGGGATCAGCTCAGTTGATTCTTTATGTTATGTATATGAACAAGTCTGTTTCGAGTGAGGCCAATGAAGAATGCTCGAGTGAGGTATAAACATGAATTCGTCACTCCAAGGCGTCTAGACAAAGACGATACAGCAATCAGAAGATGTTCCATTCACTCCGAGTTGCATATTACCTCAGTTGGACTCATCACAGTGATGTAGAGGTGGATCCAAACAATAATCACACAGCATCTTCAAGTAAGTTAATTAAGCTTTGGGAGCTTTCCAATAAAATTCAAGCTTCTGCCTTTTCCTGTTGTATCCTTCGTTTGTCTCACTTTTCTACGCTAAACCTATAATTACAAATCAAAATGTATAATCGATTTATTAACTATTGATTGATTTAAGGGCAAACTAAAAATTTAGTACCTAAGCTATCAATTTTGTTTCGTTTTAATACATAAACTTTCATTCGATTTAAAATCATACCTAACGTTTACTTTTCATTTCGTTTTGGTATCTCATTGTTTTAAAAACTTAATGGAACAGTTAAAACATGATATTTTTTATGGATAAATTACATCATTCATCACTCAACTATCTTCTCACTACGATTTTGGTCACTGGAGTTCAATTTTAAATTTAATTACTTAACTTTCAAATTACTCTTAATTCAATCGCTCCAACTTTCAAATTTAATTTTTGTTTATTTTAATTATATATTAATAAAATAATAGAAAATATCATGTCACAAAAATTATTAATAAAATAAATTTGAGCCATTAAAACATGATCAATTTGAAAGTTGAATAGTTAAATTGAAAATTTTCAAACTTTAGTGACCAAAATAGGAGTGAAAAGATAGTTAAGTAATGAATGATATAATTAACCCATAATTGTTTTTCACAATTCCGTTAATTTTTTTAAGGCATTGTAATAAAATAAAATAAAAAATAAACATTAAGTATGATTTTGAAACAAATGAAAATTTAATTATTAAAATAAAATAAAATAGATATTTTAGATACTACACACATAATTTATCCTAAATTTAATAAGATGGTGTATTAAATAATGTATGGTTTGTTATTGAAATTTTGGTAGATTTATGTAATGGTTGTATTTGTATGTTATTCATTAAAATTATAGTTATTAATATTATTTATTACTCAGTCTGATAATATTTATATAGTCCGTATTTATTTTCATTTGAATTTTTATCTGTAAAATTAAATGTCTATTTTAAGATAAAGTATATGAAATATTAATATTAAAATATAACTATAAAATATTTAAGATATAATTTTTTTTTTAAATCACATTAATGATAGCTGTTACCCTTATGTAATGTTTGTAATATCAAATATCGTACCATTTTTAATCATATTAACAATACACACTTGGAAACGTAATAGTTTGAATTTAAGATTTTAAAAGAATGATTTTTTTTAATCATTTAGATCACGTGAGTTTTAATGATCTTTTTCTTACGTAACGTTGAATCGTTAGTAAACCTTGTAGTTATAGCTATGGCCAATGAAGTTTGCATCAATGATTGGTATATAATTAAAATGATTAGACCTCCATTAATTAAAGGAAAACAAGGTGCATGTGTGAGCGTGAGCAATCATGCAGGACGAAATTCAGAACCTGCAACAAAAAATTACAATAGTTTGCACTTGCAGAACAAGAAATTAAAAGAGAGAAACGGATTCAGTGTGTTTTTAAAGACATTCGCTGCCATGTTTATGAACCCCCCAAACAGGACTTTTAGCAAGTGACAAAACCATTGTCTGCTTCATTTTTGCAGAATCTTCGAATTGTGTGCATTGCGTGTCGTAATAGTACCCCTCCCAACACACAAAAAAAATCATGTTCTCACCCATTGCTTGCATTTTAAGGCTCTGCAACAAAATCTTCAATTCTCCATATACTTATTTCAATTCCCAACACTCATTTGGCCCTTAACCAAAACCAAGAGTGGTGGCATTTTGCTTAGGAAAAAATACACTCATTTTGACTGCCATTTTTGTAAAACCATCTTGACAAACGTGACAGTCGTGTGTATTTTTCTCTTCATGTGCTCCGTACCAAGTCTACCACGCCAAGTACAATCCCTTTGCATCATTACCACGTTGTATTGGTCAAAATCCACACTCATTTCTTCTTTAAAACTAAAGTAGACTAATCTTTCACTCATCTCATAATATACAACTGCCAAACCTGCATTTTATCTGATCAAAAGTTTAAAATGATATGGAACTAAAATACTATCAGATCAAAAGTTTTAAGATGGACAGAATCTCTCCCGTCCTCCATGTACCTAGTAACAACACTTCTTTTGGCCTGGGATATATATATGCGTACCAACATTGAATTGTTTTAGGAGATATTTCAGATAGATCTACAGATGCGAAAGAAAAGAAGAATTTGAGAGGAACTAAGTTGAAGGGAAGGGTGTGAAAAACAAACAAAATTAATGAGACAAATGATACCTTACCTTTAGCCATTGATCATCTGTAGTATTTCACAAGTGAGTTGAAGTTGCAATGCAAATCGCCAAGGGCAATGAGAGACGAAACATAAAAGCTGAGGAACTCATGGTGGAGAAGGGGAGCACGTGCAAAGTTCACTTAGAAATAGCATGTCAAAATACCTGGGAAGATTGCTAAACATGGAAACTTGCACGTGCCCTGCTTCTCCAACAAGAGGTACTCACCTGCAACCATGAAAACCAATTGAAGAAGTAGATTTAAATCCACGAGTTGAGTGGAGAAAGCAAAGGAAGTGCCATGCATTTATAAACACATTCCTCCAGAGAGAGAGAGAGAGAGAGATTGAGTCTAGAAGTGGGCATTCTGACATATATCTGAATTCGTATATCTGAATTCTGAGAAGTTCAATTGCAAATTACAGATTTTTAATCCAATTGATTTGTATATTTGAATTCTGAGAAGTTCAAGATGAAAGAATGATCCAAACCAAGCGCTCGCCATTATCATCACATCAAAGCTGTGGGGTCCTACACTAGTTAGAATTTCCAATGCAATGAAAATGGAATTCGACATAACTCCCAGTAAATCTTAACCTTACTGGGTTTTGTAATTGCTCATCACAAATCCGTATTGAAACTTTAAAATTCTTGATCTCATCACCAGTTAACTTGTTAGACTAAACTTGGGTCCTTCAAATCCGTGTTTAAATAATAAAAAGATCAGGGTCTTGTCTGTTTAACTCACTGTCAAAACTCGAGTTTAATTTGCTGGTTTTGGCATTGCAGGGAAGAAAGAAAGGCCCTTTTCTCTCTACCTGGAACCCTCTTTTTCATTAATTCATGTCCAGATACTTAAAGTGTGAAGTTATACAGTATTAAAATCTGCAGAAATGAAGGGGGGGGGGGAACATGAACCCTGACACGCAAATGAGTGAAATTTCTTCATTAACAACTGCCTTCACTTGATGATTCGAGAGTGTTTTTAAGCTACATAATCATAAAATTAGTCTCCAATATTTTAATATTTACTTTATCTCATTTCAAAAAAAATATTTATTTTATCTTTATTTTTTTAAAATATATAAAAATATTTTTAAAAAAAATAATCATTGTTAAATGAAAACCGTTAAAAGATTAACGATCAACACATATTACTCATATGATATTTTCACATATATTTGATTAATACGTGGTATTTGCCAACTCATTAAAATTGATGATATAACAAATATTATCTCACCCGAAGTGATGATGTGACATACATTATATAAAAATGATGATGTGAGATGAATCATTTTATATAAAATAATGATGTGGCATATACAAACTCACATAAAATAATGATGTGATACGTGTTATGTTTTTTAAAGTGATAATATAATATGTATTACACTATCTGTTAAGTACATTATCAACATTATTGGTCAACTAACGATTTTTATCTAATAAAATTTAATTTAAAGAATAAGATCCGAAACACGAATATAACCCGTTATCGATATCCGGCTGCAAGATTAATCTTAAGACTCTGGAATCTGAAGAATGGGAATGGTAACGGGGGATGAGTCTGAGACCTTAGCTTTTGGCAATGGCCAAACACAGGCAGAGAAATTGCACGTTGGAGGTTGCGTGTTGGACCCTTGTTTTAATGAGTCACCATGGAGATATGATTCCCTGTCCTTCTACATTATAAATGCTTTACCAAATCCAAAAGAAACCATTTGAAAGCAGTGCTGCTTTCATTCAACGTCCATGTCGAAGTAAGTAACCATGTCATATATGTTGGGAATAGATTTCGTCTTGAGAGAGCTGAAAAAGCATTATCTCGTTGAAAGGTTTTATATCCACCATTACTCAACGCATTTCTTTAGACAAAGACTCAGTTTTTTCCGTTATTCGGATGGTAAATATTTCTCAGAACATGGAATATCCTCATCTCCATCTTGTATCCAATTCCAAACCCTCTTCATTTTATTATCCCATAATGACCCGATTAATCCTTTTTATAAATTTTGATTTATTATGAACATAAATATTTAATATCACAAAATGAGTGTGATAAATAGAAGAACACGTTGAAAATAATATTGTTATAATTGTTATGTTGCAAATCACATTTAAAATATTTAATTAATTAAACTGATATAATTATCAGTTTAATTTCGAATGTATCTAATTATTTATTATTCTCCTATTTATAGTTGAGAGAAGTTTGGATGGGTTAGTCAATGCATAAAAAAACGATTGTAAGTGTAACTTATAATAGCATATAAAAATCACCAAGAGAAACTTTTTTTTTTCTCTTCTTTGAGGTTTTGTTTCTATTTTCGTAAGTCTTTTTTCCCCCTTTAGGTTGCTTTGTTGGTTTCGGGTTTAAATTTTTATGGAATATTGCTTTTGGTTTAGAGAATTTAAGGTTAATAAAATATTGATGTTGAATCATACAGAATCAGGATAGATAATTACCGTCAAGGTTCGACGTAGATTTTTGCCGTTAAGATTGAGACGACTAAAAACTTGATCCATAATCATCCATAGTTGAAGTTAATTGAAACATACCAAATATGCTTGTGGCATATACATTTATATATCTATAAGCAATTGTTTTTGGACTCG